CTTAGGGTAAGGGGGCGGGGCTACTTGAGGCAGCGCTCGAAGTAGGTGGCCCCCACGTATCCGCCGCGCAGGGAGCGCTGCACGTTCTGCTCGAAGAGGCGGCGGTTGCTCTGCAGCACCTCGGCGGCCTCCTTGTTGAGGGGGTCCTCGGGGTTCGGCTCCTGGGGGGGGGGGGACCCCGATAATGGGGTTAGGGGTGGGGGGGCAACACCGTAATGGGGTTAGGAGTGGAGGGGGACACCCCCGTAATGGGGTTAGGGGATGGGGGCAGGACCCCAATAATGGGGTTAGGGGTGGAGGGGGAACCCCGAAAATGGGGTTAGGGGTGGGGGGGGTAACCCAATAATGGGGTTAGGGGTGGGGGGGGCAACACCGTAATGGGGTTAGGGGTGGGGGGGTAACACCGTAATGGGGTTAGGGGATGGGGGGGGATACCCCCATAATGGGGTTAGGGAATAGGGGGGGGGACACCCCCATACACATACATGCATATAGAGGGGAAGAGAGGGGGGGATTGGGGGTAAGGGATGGGGGGTAATGGAGTAACGGATAGGGGGGTGGGATGGGGATGTGGGGTAATGGATGGGGAGTATGGGATGGGGGGAATGGGATTGGAGTAAGGGATGGGAGGGGAATGGGGGGGTTGGGGGTAAGAGATGTGGGGTAATGGAGTAAGGAATGGGGATGGGGAGTAAGGGATGGGGGTAATGGAGTAATGGATGGGGGGAATGGTATGGGGATTGGGGGTATGGGATGGGGCAATGGGATACAGCACATGGGATGGGGGGTAAAGGACAGGGGGTATGGGGTGTGGGGGTATGTGAATAGGAAGACATGGGGATAGCAGGAGATAGGGATGGGGGGATAGAGGGATATGGAATACAGGGATATGGGGTTCACCAGTGCCCACTGCCCCCCAATAGCCCTTAATGCCCCGAATAGCCCTTAATCCACCCCCGTACCCCTATAGCCCTAAATACCCCCATGGGGTTCAGAACCCCCCCAGGACCCCATGTACCCCCCCTTTAACCCTCCCCCTTAACTCCCCCCACTGCCCCTATGAATGCCCCCCTTTAACCCCCCCCATAAAGTGAACAGGGCGAACCCCAATAGCCCAAAGCCACCCCTGCCCCATAGACAATGACCCCTATGGGTGCCCCCCAACCCCTATGGGTGCCCCCCAACCTTATGGGTGCCCCCCAACCCCTATGGGTGCCCCCCCCATGGGTGCCCCCCATCCCTTATGGGTGCCCCCCATCCTTTATGGGTGCCCCCCACCCCTATGGGTGCCTCCCAACCCCTATGGGTACCCCCCACCATTTATGGGTGCCCCCCATCTCTATGGGTGCCCCCAACCCCTATGGGTACCCCCCATCCTTTATGGGTGCCCCCCACCCCTATGGCTGCCCCCAATCTCTATGGGTGCCCCCCACCTTTATGGGTGCCCCCACCCTTTATGGGTGCCCCACCCTTTATGGGGTGCCCCCCATTGGTACCCACCAGGAAGAGGTACTGCAGGCCGTAGATGATGGAGTTTATCGTCAGGACCGGTTTCCAGTCCTCTCTATGGGGTCACACAATGGGGATCAATGGGGCCACCCCATAGCACCCCCCCCCCCATTGGTGGCCACCCCACGGCCCCCCCCGGTTGCCCACCTGAGGATGTTGAGGCAGACGTTGCCCTCCAGGTCGATGTTGGGGTGATAGACCATGGTCTCGCACTTGACTTTGGGGGGGTCGTGGGGGTAGCCCTGGCCAACCTGCACATGGGGGGGGGAGGTAGCCAAAGGGGGGGGTTTGGTGGCCACCGAATGGGTTTTGGTGGCCATGGAGGTCCTGCAGCAATGGTGGCCACACATTGGGGGTTAGTGGGTATTGAGCTCCAATAGGAGCTTATGGGGGTCACAAAGGAAACTTGGTGGCCACAGGTTGGGTTTTGGTGGCCACGGAGGTCCTGAAGCAATGGTGGCCACACATTGGGGGTTAGTGGGTATTGAACTCCAATAGGAGCTTATGGGGGTCACAAAGGAAACTTGGTGGCCACAGGTTGGGTTTTAGTAGCCATGAAGCTCCTGCACCAATGATGGCCACAAACCCGCCTTGGTGGTCACACATTGGGTGTTAGTGGCCACCTGCTCAATAGAAGCTTATGGGGGTCACAAACCCAACTTGGTGGCCACAGGTTGGGTTTTAGTGGCCACCAAGCTCCTGCACCAATGGTGGCCACAAACCCACCTTGGTGGCCACACATTGGGGGTTAGTGGCCACCTGCTCCAATAGAAGCTTATGGTGGCCACAAAGGCAACTTGGTGGCCACAGGATGGGTTTTAGTGGCCATGAAGCTTCTGCACCAATGGTGGCCACAAACCCGCCTTGGTGGCCACACACTGGGGGTTAGTGGCCACCTGCTCCAATATAAGCTTATGGTGGCCCCAAACCCACCTTGGTGGCCACCACTGTTATATGCGTGTGTGTGAGTGTCCCCAAGGGCACCCCAATGGCCGGTGGCCCTGGGCTGGCTCTTGGTAGCCACAAACTGCACTGACCTTAAAGCTGAAGACGAACTTGCCTCCCTTGTAGAAGCCCTGGGGGGGGGACGGAGATGTCAGCATGGGGGGGGTAAAGGGATATGGGGGGGTAAAGGGATATGGGGGGGGTAAAGGGATATGGGGGGGTAAAGGGATGTGGGGGGGTAAAGGGATGTGGGGGGGTAAAGGGATATGGGGGGGGTAAAGGGATATGGGGGGTAAAGGGACGTGGGGGGGCATAAAGGGACGTGGGGGGGGTAAAGGGATGTGGGGGGAGAGATAAAAGGACAATGGGGGGACAAGAGGGCAATATGGGAGCAATAGGGGGGCAATGGGGGGGGCAATGGGGGGGCGATAGGGGGTCAATGGGGGGGGTCAATGGGGGGGTCCCCACCTCGTCGGGGCAGATGAGGAGCCGGAAGTGGAGGAGATCGTCCTGGTCGGAGAAGTCGATCTCGCAGGTCTTGGGCAGGTTCAGCTCGTTGATGTCTGGGGGGGGCAATGGTAGCCATGGGGGGGGCAGTGGTAGCCATGGGGGGGGTATTGGTAGCCATGGGGGGACATTGGTACCCATGGGGGGGGCAATGGTAGCCATGGGGGGGGCATTGGTAGCCATGGGGGGGGCATTGGTACCCTTGGGGGGGCATTAGGAAGGGACCTCCCCCCCATTAGACCCCCCCCAGCCCCACTGAACTCCCCCCGTCTCCATTAGGACCCTCCCAGGCCCCATTTCCCCCCTATTAAACCCCCCCCAGGCCCCATTTCCCCCCTATTAAACCCTCCCCATCCCCATTAAAGCCCCCCGGCCCCATTAGAACCCCTTCAGGCCCCATTAACCCCCCCCTCCAGACCCCATTGCCCCCCTATTAGGCCCCCCAGGCCCCATTTCCCCCCCCCATCACACCCCCTAGGCCCCATTCTAGGCCCCATTTAGGCCCGTCCAGGCCCCGTTTAGGCCCCTCCAGGCCCCGGTACTGGGTGTGTGTGTGCAGGGGGGGGTCCGGTCCGGTTCGGTCCGGTTCGGTCCCCCCCCCAAGACCCGGTTTCGGTTCCGGTTCCGGTCACCTTTCTGTATCCGGAGCTGTGCGGCCGAGGCCTTCTTGCTGGTGCCCTTGGTCCCCCCCGCCGATTCCTCCTCCTTCTTCTGTTGCTTCAACGAGAAGAGCTTGATCATCCTGCCGGGCCGGGCCGAACCGGAACCGGAACCGGGACCGGAACCGGGACCGGGGGGGGGCGGCGAAAGCCGGGTTGGGCCCCCCCCGGAGGGGAGCACGGAGCGAGCGGTGGCGACAGCGGGACCCGGAGCTGAGGCGGAAGCGGCGGCGGCGGCGGCGGCCCTGAGGCGCTGAGGGGAAGGGGCTCGGCCACGGCCGGAGCCGTTCGGCAACTTCCGGAAGCGGCTTCGGGGTTTTCCGGACAGGGCTCGGGCGGGCGCTGGACGCGCTTCGGGTTCTTCCGGAAAGGGAACGATTCGTTCCGGGGTCTTTTCCCCTCCCACCACTTCCCCCCCACGCTTCGGCTCTTTCCGGAGCCTCTTCGGCTCTTTCCGGAACAGGGGCGGGTTCAATGCGCTCCGCTCCGCGTCCCTATAGAGAGCTTCGGCTCTTTCCGGATGCACTTCGGCTCTTTCCGGAACAGGGGCGGGTTCAATGCGCTCCGCGTCCCTATAGAGCTTCGGCTGTTTCCGGAACCGCTTCGGCTCTTTCCGGAACAGGGGCGGGTTCGATGCGCTCCGCCTCGCCCCGCGTCCCTATGAAGAGCTCCGAGCAGCTTCGGCTCTTTCCGGAGACGCTTCGGTTGGTTCCGGACAAGGGGGCGGACCCGAAGCGCCCCCCCTCCGCCCCGCGTCCCTGTAGAGAGCTTCGGCTCTTTCCGGATGCACTTCGGCTCTTTCCGGACGAGGGGCGGTTCCGATGCTTCCCCCCAACCCCCCCCCTCCCGCACACCTCGGGTCCCCCCTCGGAGCACTTCGGCTCCTTCCGGAACTCTTCGTCTCTTTCCGGTCCTTCCCTCTTCGTGCCTCACCGGAAAGCATCGGCTATTCCCGGAATTCCCACCTCCAATCTCGGCTGCAGCCTGGATTGAGGATGGGAAAAGGGGGGGGGGGGGATGTCCTATAGGGACCAGATCCTTACCCCATTTGGCCCATACCGGCTCCATCCCACCCAGTAGCTCCCATTCCAACCTTGGGAAGGATGGAATTTGGGGGTGGGGGGTGATGGTGGTGCTCGACCATGGTTTTATTTCTCCAACCAACACAGACACGGACACCACAATGGGATCAACCCCATTCCCATGGGAAAGCATCAGGGCCCCACAGCGCCAGGACGGGGGGGTGCCGGGGTGCCTGGAGCCTCATCCACAGGGACAAGGGGCTCCATAAGGAATCGGGCAGCCGAGAACTTGCCCTCGCCGAAGGCAGCGTTGAGCCGGGATTCGATGAAGCTTTGTAGGGCCAGGATGGATTGAACGTGCTCCTTATCCTGCAATAGGGTAAGGGGGGGGAAAGGGGTGAGGAAAAGGATGGATCCTTCCCTATATCCCAACCTGCATCCCGGGATCCCACCTCGCTCTGGGAGCTGAACTGCCTCAAGAGCCTCCAGATATCACAGGCGAACTCCTCGGTGCTGCGGTAATGGGGGCTCAGCTTCTCCTGCAGCCGGGCCCGGATGAGGGTCAGGTCAATGGGGTCGGGGGTATCCTATAGGAAGAGAATTCCCAGCTGGAATGGAGCCATCCCTCCATGGAGTCCCTATGGAAGCCGGAGCTATGGGGCTCACCGTGGAGCTGGAGAGGCGATGGAGGGGCCGGCAGGGCTCATGGCACAGGAGCTGGAGCAGCACCAACTCGCACTTCTAAAAGGGAGGGGGTTAAAAGGGATCCATGGATTCCATTGGGATCCCATTGGGATTCCATTGGGATTCCATTGGGATTCCATTGGGATTCCATTGGGATTCCATTGGGATCCCATTGGATCCATGGAGCCCTCATCCCCGTGTCCATCCCCATCCCATCCCCATGTACCTGCTGGTCCAAGGGGCAGAGCTTCTGGGGGGCCCCCTCGGTGAGGTCCTGGCTGGGGGGGGGCAGGTCCTGGCAGAGCAAACACCTCCATTCGGGGCTATGGGAGCCGGGGGGGGGGGGATTATGGGGGTGTCATCATCGTGTCCCCCCCCACACTGATCCCATTCAATCCCATCCCCCCCACTGGGATTGGGATCATCGGAGGGATTCCCACATGGATTAGGGTCTGGAAGGGCAGGATGGAGGGGGGGATCCATGATGGAAGGGGGGGTCGATCCCTAGGGAAGCCACAAGGGATTTCAATGGGGGGGGGTTCATTCCTATGGATCAAGTGGGGTCTCAATGGGGGGTTCATCCCTATGGAGCAGGGGGGTCTCAATGTGGGGGGGTTCATCCCTATGGAGCAGGGGGATCTCAATGGGGGGGGGGTTCATCCCTATGGAGCAGGGGGATCTCAATGGGAGGGGGGGGAGTTCATCGCTATGGAGCAGGGGGGTCAATGGGAGCCCCCCTGTGAGACCCCATGGGATCCCTCAAGAGGCCCACGGAGGGGGTAGATCCCATGGGAGACAAAGGGGACCCAAGGGATAAAACCCCCCCTCCCCTCTTCCATGATGCCCAAAAGAGGGATGCTGAGGGATGCAGGATGCCGCAGAGCGGGAAGCGCTGCCATTGGACGCCAGGGGATCCAATGGGAACGGCGGGTACCTGGGGACCTCGTGCAGGGCAGGCAGGTGGCAGGCGAGGTGGAAGCAGCGCTGGCAACGGTCACACATGACCACGGCCCCGGCGCGGCGGCACACGCGGCAACAGGACACGGATCCCAGTATGGAACTGGGGCTGGAGCCTGGGGCTGAGGGGGAGCTGGGGACGGGGCCCACGGCTCCATTGGGATGGCTGGGGAGGGGTTTGGTGTCCTCTGGTTGCTCCTCCTGTATGGGGGATATGGGGGATAAGGGATGGGGTATGGGATATGGGGTATGGGGTATGGGGTATGGGGATATGGGGTATGGGATATATGGGGTATGGGATATATGGGGTGTGGGGTATGGGGATATGGGGTATGGGATATATGGGGTATGGGATATATGGGGTATGGGATATGGGGTATGGGGTATGGGATATGGGGTATGGGATATATGGGGTATGGGATATGGGGTATGGGATATGGGGTATGGTGTATGGGGTGTGGGATATGGGGTATGGGATATGGGGTATGGGGTGTGGGGTATGGGGTGTGGGATATGGGGTGTATGGGGTATGGGGTATGGGGTGTGGGGTATGGGGTGGGGTATGGGATGGGGTGTTGGGTATGGGGTGGGGATATGGGATGGGGAGATGGCTAAAGGGGATGGACACCGGGACACAAGAGCAAGGGGGGGAATGCATGGGGATAGGGTAAAGAGGAGCAGGGACAAGGGGGAGATGGAAGTGGGATACGGATAAGGGGGGGATGGATGTGGGGTAGGGATAAAGGGGGACAGGGATGGGATGGGGGTGGGGGCAGGGATGGGATGGGGGTGGGGGTGGGGGATGGGATGGGGGTGGGGGATGGGATGGGGATGGGGGGAGGGGGGGGTGTTCCCATTGACCTTAATGGCGGCGGGGGGGCGGCGGGGCTGCCCCCGCTCGATGACGATGAGGCTGAACTCGCGGGGGGAGGCTCCCGGAAGCACCCGGAACACCGGCACCGGCACCGCCCCCCCCGGCTCCAGGCCCAGCTCCAGGCGCTCCAGGCGCACCCGCGGCACCTTGGGGAGCAGAGGGGGGGGCACGGGGCAGGTCCTGGGGGGGCAGAGGGGGAGGGGGTCAGGGGGAGCCTATGGGGGTACGGGGGTAACTATGGGGGTACAGGGGTACCTGTGGGGTACAGGGGTACCTATGGGGTACACGGATAACTATGGGGGTATGGGATAACTATGGGGGTACAGGGATACTTATGGGGGTACGGGGACAGGGACACCTATGGGGGTACGGAGGTAACTATGGGGTACAGGGATACCTATGGGGGTACGGGGATAACTATGGGGGTACAGGGGTAACTATGGGGGTACAGGGATAACTACGGGGGCACAGGGACAGCTATGGGGATGGAGAGACAGGGGAACCTATGGGGGTACAGGGACACCTATGGGGGTACCCACCTCTTCCTTCCGGTGCCAGCAGCTTCGGGGGGGCCATTGGCTGCTGAAGAAACCCCCATCAGGAGCCCCCCTCCCCCTTTGTGCCCCCCCATATCCCTCCAATATCCCCTGCCCCATATCCCCCCCCATATTCACCGCCCCATATACCCCCTCCCATTCCCCCCGAAATCCCCCCCAATATCCCCCCCCCATATCCCCTGCCCCATATCCCCCCCATGTCCCCTGCCCCATATCCCCTGCCCCATATCTCCCCCCTCCCATCTCCCCCCATATCCCCTGCCTCATATCCCACTCCATGTCCCCTGCCCCATATCCCCCCCTCCATATCCCCCCCCATATCATATCATATCCCCTGCCCCATACCCCCTGCCCCATACCCCCCCCATATCCGCTGCCCCATATCCCCCCCCATACCCCCCCCAAACTCACCCATCTCCGTATCCCCCCCACTCTCCCCCATCTCCGGGTACAGATGCGGGGGGGACAAACTGGGGCACCCCAATCCTTGCCCCCCAAGTGGACCCTGAAGTGGGGGGGGGGCCCCCAACCCATCCTCAGCCCCACTGCGGGTGGGGGGGGGCCCTGAGTTGCTTTGCCCCATGGGGCTGGGTTGCCCTTTGCTCCCCACAACGGCTTGGGGGGCACCCTGTAGGGGGTGGATAAAGAGGGGGGGGTTTAAAGCAGGGTGGGGGTGGGGGGCACCCATGGGTGCTACAACATTGGTACCTGTGATGCTCCATGGGGGTTGGGTGATGAAGGGGGGGGGGTCCGCTCTGAGACGATGCTGCCTGGGATGGGTTAAAAAGGGGGGGTCAATGGTGGGGGAGGGGATCAAGGGGGGCACCCATGGGTGCTGTTGCCCCTCCCATCCCCCACCCCACCCATGGCCTCACCGAAGCTCTCGGCGCTCCGGGTCCAGGCACTGGGATCCCATTGGAATCTCATCTCCCCCTGGGGCTCCACGGGCTCCACCATGGCCTTGAGGGCGCCCTGGAGCTGGGGGCAGATCTGTGTGTGAGAAAGGGGGGGTTTGGGGGGGGTCCATGATGGGATGGGGGTGTCTATGATGGGATGAGGGTCCCTATGGTGTGTTTTGGGGTCCCTAGGGTGTGTTTTGGGGTGCCTATGCTGTGTTTTGGGGTGCCTATGCTGTGTTTTGGGGTCCCTAGGGTGTGTTTTGGGGTCCCTAGGGTGTGTTTTGGGGTCCCTAGGGTGTGTTTCGGGGTCCCTAGGGTGTGTTTTGGGGTCCCTATGGTGTGTTTTGGGGTCCCTAGGGTGTGTTTTGGGGTGCCCCCGGTGTGTTTTGGGGTCCCTATGGTGTGTTTAGGGGTCCCTAGGGTGTGTTTCAGGGTGCCCATGGTGTGTTTTGGGGTGCCTATGCTGTGTTTTGGGGTCCCTCACCAGCCTCCTGCAGAGCAGCAGGGCGGCGCTGTTGTCCCTCTGCAGGGCCCAGGAGGTGCCTAGGGTGTGTTTTGGGGTGCCTATGGTGTGTTTCGGGGTCCCTAGCGTGTGTTTTGGGGTCCCTATGGTGTGTTTTGGGGTCCCTAGGGTGTGTTTTGGGGTCCCTAGGGTGTGTTTTGGGGTCCCTATGCTGTGTTTTGGGGTCCCTAGGGTGTGTTTTGGGGTCCCTATGGTGTGTTTTGGGGTCCCTATGGTGTGTTTAGGGGTCCCTAGGGTGTGTTTAGGGGTCCCTAGGGTGTGTTTTGGGGTCCCTAGGGTGTGTTTAGGGGTGCCTAGGGTGTGTTTCAGGGTCCCCATGGTGTGTTTTGGGGTCCCCCGGTGTGTTTCGGGGTCCCTAGGGTGTGTTTTGGGGTGCGGGTCCCTCACCAGCCTCCTGCAGAGCAGCAGGGCGGCGCTGTTGTCCCTCTGCAGGGCCCAGGAGGTGTCTATGGTGTGTTTTGGGGTCCCTATGGTGTGTTTTGGGGTCCCTAGGGTGTGTTTTGGGGTGCCTATGGTGTGTTTCGGGGTCCCTAGCGTGTGTTTCGGGGTCCCTAGGGTGTGTTTTGGGGTCCCTAGGGTGTGTTTTGGGGTTCCCATGCTGTGTTTTGGGGTGCCTGGGGTGTGTTTTGGGGTGCCCCCGGTGTGTTTTGGGGTGCGGGTCCCTCACCAGCCTCCTGCAGAGCAGCAGGGCGGCGCTGTTGTCCCTCTGCAGGGCCCAGGAGGTGTCTATGGTGTGTTTTGGGGTGCCTATGGTGTGTTTAGGGGTCCCTGGGGTGTGTTTTGGGGTGCGGGTCCCTCACCAGCCTCCTGCAGAGCAGCAGGGTGGCGCTGTTGTCCCTCTGCAGGGCCCAGGAGGTGCCTATGGTGTGTTTTGGGGTGTCTGTGATGGGATTGGGGTCCCCATGGTGTGTTTAGGGGTCCCCATGCTGTGTTTTGGGGTCCCTCACCAGCCTCCTGCAGAGCAGCAGGGCGGCGCTGTTGTCCCTCTGCAGGGCCCAGGAGGTGCCTATGCTGTGTTTTGGGGTCCCTAGGGTGTGTTTTGGGGTCCCTATGGTGTGTTTTGGGGTCCCTATGGTGTGTTTTGGGGTCCCTAGGGTGTGTTTTGGGGTGCGGGTCCCTCACCAGCCTCCTGCAGAGCAGCAGGGCGGCGCTGTTGTCCCTCTGCAGGGCCCAGGAGGTCCCTATGGTGTGTTTTGGGGTGCCTAGGGTGTGTTTTGGGGTGCCTAGGGTGTGTTTTGGGGTGCCCATGCTGTGTTTTGGGGTGCCCGGGGTGTGTTTTGGGGTCCCTAGGGTGTGTTTTGTGGTCCCTAGGGTGTGTTTTGGGGTGCCTGGGGTGTGTTTTGGGGTGCGGGTCCCTCACCAGCCTCCTGCAGAGCAGCAGGGCGGCGCTGTTGTCCCTCTGCAGGGCCCAGGAGGTGTCTATGGTGTGTTTTGGGGTGCCTATGCTGTGTTTAGGGGTCCCTGGGGTGTGTTTTGGGGTGTGGGTCCCTCACCAGCCTCCTGCAGAGCAGCAGGGCGGCGCTGTTGTCCCTCTGCAGGGCCCAGGAGGTGCCTATGGTGTGTTTTGGGGTGTCTATGATGGGATTGGGGTCCCCATGGTGTGTTTTGGGGTGCGGGTCCCTCACCAGCCTCCTGCAGAGCAGCAGGGCGGCGCTGTTGTCCCTCTGCAGGGCCCAGGAGGTGCCTATGCTGTGTTTTGGGGTCCCTAGGGTGTGTTTCGGGGTCCCTATGCTGTGTTTTGGGGTCCCTATGGTATGTTTTGGGGTCCCTAGGGTGTGTTTTGGGGTGCGGGTCCCTCACCAGCCTCCTGCAGAGCAGCAGGGCGGCGCTGTTGTCCCTCTGCAGGGCCCAGGAGGTGCCTATGGTGTGTTTTGGGGTCCCTAGGGTGTGTTTTGGGGTCCCTATGGTGTGTCTGGGGTAGGGTGTGTTTTGGGGTGCCCATGCTGTGTTTTGGGGTGCCCGGGGTGTGTTTTGGGGTCCCTAGGGTGTGTTTTGTGGTCCCTAGGGTGTGTTTTGGGGTGCCCCCGGTGTGTTTTGGGGTGCGGGTCCCTCACCAGCCTCCTGCAGAGCAGCAGGGCGGCGCTGTTGTCCCTCTGCAGGGCCCAGGAGGTGAAGCGCAGGACGTGCTCCTGCTGCTGCTGCAGCTGGGTCATGGCCCAGTGCTGCCGCTCCAGGCGCTCCTGCTGGCCCTCGGTGACGCGCTGCAGTGGGGGGGGGACGGGGGGAGCACCCCAAGGTCAGTACATGGGGGGGGGGGAATGGGGGGGGTGGGGGAGGGGGAATAAGGGGGGAGGGGTTAATAATGGGGGAGGGGTTAATAATGGGGGAGGGGTAATAAGGGGGGAGGGGTAATAAGGGGGTGATAATAAGGGGGGAATAATGGGGAGTAGTAACAGGGAAGGGTAATAATGGGGTGGCAATAATGGGGGAGGGATAATAATGGAAAAGGGGGGTAATAATGGGGGGAGAGGGTAATAATGGGGTGGGGTAATAGAGGGGGGATAAGAAGAGGGGTAATGATGGGGGGTAATAATGGGGGTAATAATGGGGGGGCAATAATGGGGGAGGGATAATAATGGAGAGGGGGGTAATAATGGGGGAGGGGTATTAATGGGGGAGGTGTATTAATGGGGGAGGGGTAGGAATGGGGGAGGGGTATTGATAGGGGAGGGGTAGCAATAGGGGAGGGGTATCAATGGGGGAGGGGTATCAATGGGGGAGGGGTATGAATGGGGGGTGCGGGTGGGGGTTGGGGTGCAGTGCCCCACCTGCGCGTCGCTGACCAGCACCCGGCCCCTCTTGTTGAGCTCCTTCATGACCTGCAGGATCGCCACCTTCACCTCCACCTGCACCCGCTTCTGCACCTCCGCCACGCGGCGCATGCTGGGGGGCAATGGGGAACGCTATGGGGCTGGATCCACCCCATGGGGCTGAGCTCCCCCGCTATGGGGCTGGGTACACCCCATGGGGCTCAGATCCCCCTCTATGGGGCTGGAGGGATCCCCCCGCTATGGGGCTGGGTACACCCCATGGGGCTCAGATCCCCCTCTATGGGGCCAGACTCCCCCCCTGTGGGGCTCGGTACACCCCATGGGGGATCGATCCCCCCGCTATGGGGCTGGATCCACCCCATGGGGCTGAGCTCCCCCTCTATGGGGCCAGATTCCCCCCCTGTGGGGCTCAGATCCCCCCTCTATGGGGCCGGATCCACCCCATGGGGCTCAGATTCCCCTCTATGGGGCCAGATTCCCCCCCTGTGGGGCTCAGATCCCCCTCTACGGGGCTCAGCTAACACTCTATGGTCCTGGATCCCATCCTATGGGGCTCAGCTCCCCCTCTATGGGGCTCAGCTCCCCACTATGGGGCTCAGTTCCCCCTCTATGGGGCCCAGGTCCCTTCTATGGGGCTCAGCTCCTCCTCTATGTGCCCATGAACCCCCCCTATGGGGCTCAGCTCCCCCTCTATGGGCCTGGATCCCATCCTATGGGGCTCAGCTCCTCACTATGGGGCTCAGCTCACCCTCTATGGGCCCGGATCCCATCCTATGGGGCTGAGCTCCCTGCTATGGGGCTCAGCTCCCTTCTATGGGGCTCAGCTCCCCCTCTATGGGGCTGAGCTCCCTGCTATGGGGCTGAGCTCCCTGCTATGGGGCTGGATCCCCCTCTATGGGGCTCAAATCCCCTCTATGTGCCTGGATCCCATCCTATGGGTCCCAGCTCCCCTCTATGGCCCCCATCTCCCCCTCTATGGCCCCCATCTCCCCTCTATGGGTCCCAGGCCCCCTATGGGGCACTCACAAGGCCCGCACGTCCCGCGCCGCTCGCTGCAGGGCCGCCTGCTTGTCCCCGAGGCGCTTGAGCATCCCCAGCAGCAGCGTCCGCTGGCTCCGCACGGCCTCCTCCAGGAACTGGTACCTGCAATGGGGGGTACGGGGAGCCCTGTGGGTGCTATGGGGCAGGGGAGCCCTATGGGTGCTATGGGGTAGGGGAAACTATGGGGCAGGGGAACCCTATGGGTGCTATGGGGCAGGGGGACCCTATGGGGGGTACGGGGGAGCCCTGTGGGTCCTATGGGGCAGGGGAGCCTATGGGGGGTACAGGGGAGCCCTGTGGGTGCTATGGGGCAGGGGAGCCCTATGGGGGGGGGGTACGGGGGAGCCCTGTGGGTCCTATGGGGCAAGGGAGCCTATGGGTGCTATGGGGCAGGGGAGCCTATCGGGGGGGGGGTACGGGGGAGCCCTATGGGTGCTATGGGGCAGGGGGACCCTACTGGGTGCTACGGGGCAGGGGAGCCTATGGGTGCTATGGGGCAGGGGAGCCCTATGGGTGCTATGGGGCAAGGGACCCTATGGGGGGTACAGGGGAGCCCTATGGGTGCTATGGGGCAGGGGGACCCTATGGGTGCTACGGGGCAGGGGAGCCCTATGGGTGCTATGGGGCAGGGGAGCCCTATGGGTGCTATGGGGCAGGGGAGCCCTATGGGTGCTATGGGGTAGGGGAAACTATGGGGCAGGGGAGCCCTATGGGTGCTATGGGGCAGGGGAACCTATGGGGGGGTACGGGGGAGCCCTATGGGTGCTATGGGGCAGGGGAACCTATGGGGGGGTACCAGGGAGACCTATGGGTGCTGGGGGGCAGGGGAGCACTATGGGGGGGTACAGGGGAGCACTATGGGTGCTGGGGGACAGGGGGACCCTATGGGGGGTACAGGGGAGCCCTATGGGGGGGTACAGGGCACCTGTGTTGCTAACGGGACGTTAATTGCTGCTAACGAGATGTTCATTGACGCTAACGAGGGTGTTCATTGATGCTAACGATGGTGTTAATTAGCGCTAATGACAATGTTAATTAGTGCTAATGATGGTGTTAATTGGTGATAATGATGGTGTTAATTGGTGTTAATGATGGTGTTAAATAGCGTTAATGAGGGTGTTAATTAGCGCTAATGATGGTGTTAATTAGTGCTAATGAGGGTGTTAATTGGTGCTAATGATGGTGTTAATTGGTGTCAATAATGGTGTTAATTAGTGTCAATAATGGTGTTAATTAGTGTTAATGATGGCGTTAACTGGTGCTAATGACGGCGTTAACTGGTGCTAATGATGGTGTTAACTGGTGCTAATGATGGCGTTAATTGGTGCTAATGATGGTGTTAATTGGTGATAATGATGGTGTTAACTGGTGCTAATGATGGCGTTAACTGGTGCTAATGATGGCGTTAACTGGTGCTAATGATGGCGTTAATTGGTGCTAATGATGGTGTTAATTGGTGCTAATGATGGTGTTAATTGGTGTTAACGATGGTATTAATTAGCGTTAATGAGGGTGTTAATTAGCGCTAATGATGGTGTTAATTAGTGCTAATGATGGTGTTATTTAGTGTCAATGATGTTGTTAATTGGTGTTAATGACGTTGTTAATTAGTGTTAATGATGGTGTTAATTGGTGTTAATGATGGTATTAATTGGTGCTAATGATGTTGCTAATTGGTGCTAATGATGGCGTTAATTAGTGTTAATGATGGTGTTAATTGGTGCTAATGATGGTGTTAATTAGCGCTAATGAGGGTGTTCATTGATGCTAATGATGGTGTTAATTAGTGTCAATGATAGTGTCCATGATGCTGTTACTGGTGCTCACCGGTGGTCCTGGTGGGTGCTGAGCTGGCAGTCCCGGCAGGTGAGCGCCTCGCAGGTGTCACAGAACAGCACCAGCGGCTCCTGCTTGTGCACGGGGCACAGGAGGGTGCGCTCGGGGGCGGGGCCTGGGCGGGTGCCTGCGGAGGGGGCGGAGACAAAGGGGTGACGTCATTGGTGACGTCATCACGTCACTGTCATGGCGGCCCCACTGCCCCATGGTGTGAGGGTGCGCTCGGGGGCGGGGCCTGGGCGGGTGCCTGCGGAGGGGGCGGAGCCAAGGGGGTGACGTCATGGTGATGTCATGTGATGTCATCACATGACTGTCATGGCGGCCCCACTGCCCCATGGTGTGTGTAATAAGGGGGCCACCATAGGGACACTGAGGGGACCTCAAGAGGCACCATAGGGACCCCAAGGGGCCACCATAGGAACCACCATGGAGACATTAAGGGGCCACCATAGGGACATTAAGGGGCCACCATGGGGACATTAAGGGGCCACCATGGGGACATTAAGGGGCCACCATGGGGACATTAAGGGGCCACCATGGGGACATTAAGGGACCACCATGGGGACACTAAGGGGCCACCATGGGGACACTAAGGGGCCACCATGGGGCCACCATAGGTACATGAAGGGGCCACCAAGGGGACATGAATGGGCCACCATGGGGACATTAAGGGGCCACCATGGGGCCACCATGGGGACATTAAGGGGCCACCATGGGGCCACCATAGGGACATGAAGGGGCCACCATGGGGCCACCATAAGGACATGAAGGGGCCACCATGGGGCCACCATAGGGACATGAAGGGACCACCATGGGGCCACCATAGGGACATGAAGGGGCCACCATAGGGACATGAAGGGGCCACCATAGGGACATGAAGGGGCCACCATGGGGACACGAAGGGGCCACCATGGGGACATGAAGGGGCCACCATGGGGACATGAAGGGGCCACCAAGGGGCCACCATGGGCACGCACCGATGGCCCGCACGGTGTGGTCCTTGGTGTACTTGACCCGCTGGTGCGCCTCCACGCAGGTCCCGCACAGCGGCTCCGAGCACTGCACGCAGTAACTGGTGGCCGCCGCGTTGTCCTCGCAGCTCGTGCAGCACTAGGGGATGGGGGGGTGATTATTAGCGCTAATAACGGGCTAATGACGGGATAATAACGGGGTAATAACAGGGTAATAGCAACGGGCTAATAATACATTAATAATGGGCTAATAATGCGCTAATAACAACGGGCTAATAACAGAGTAATAATACATTAATAATGGGCTCATAACACGCTAATAACGAGCTAATAACGCGCTAATAAGGGGGTAATAAAGTGACAATAACAACAGGCTAATAACAACGGGCTAATAACAGACTAATAATCATTAATAATGGGCTCATAAAGCGCTAATAACGCGCTAATAATGGGTTAATAACGCGCTAATAACAGACTAATAATAAACTAATAAGACGCTAATAACGGGCTAATAATCCATTATTAATGGGCTAATAACTCGCTAATAACGGGCTAATAACACATTAATAATGGCCTAATAAGTCGCTAAAAAAGGCTAATAACATGCTAATAACAGGCTAGCAATGGGCTAATAATGCGCTAATCAATAATAACGGGTTAATAGTGCACTAATAACGCGCTAATAGCGGGCTAATAACACATTACTAATGGGCTAATAAGTCGCTAGTAAAGGGCTAATAACATGCTAATAACGGCCTAGTAATGAGGTAATAACACACTCATAATGCACTAATAACAGGCTATTAATGCACTAATAACAGGCTAATAATGCACAAATAATGGACTAATAACACACTGATAATGCACTAATTACACACTAAACAAGAACTAATAGTGCACTAATAATGCACCAATTAAGCACTAATGGCTCACTAAGCACTAATGAAACACTAATAACTTACTAATTACACACTAATAACACTCTAATAGCTCCCTAATTACGCATATAATTAAGCACTACTGAACCAATAGCAATACACTAATAATGCACTAATAAAACACTAATAATGCACAAATAAAACACTAATAACTCACCAATAACACACTAGAAACGTGTTAATTAAACCATAATGAAGTACTAATAACGCACCAATTACACACAAATAGTGTTCTAATAAAACACTAATAGCACCCTATTAGCACACTAATAACGTACTAATTACACACTAATAGTTTCCTAATAATACACTAATAACCCCCAATAAGAAAGCTCTAATGACGCATTAATGACGTGCTAATTAAGCCCTGATTAAGCCCTGATGAAGCACTAATAACACACTAACAGTGCCCTAATAACACACTAATAAGACACTAACAATTGTCTAATCACACACTAATAATGCCCTAATAATAAGGCACTTATTATGTGCTAACACGCTAATTAAGCCCTAATGAAGCAATAATAACGCACTAATAGCGCCCTAATAACACTCTAATAACACCCTACTAACACGCTAATAATTCTCTAATAACACCCTACTAACACACTAATAATTCTCTAATAACACCCTTCTAACACGCTAATAATTCTCTAATAACACCCTACTAACACGCTAATAATTCTCTAATAACACTCTAGTAACACAGTAATAATTCTCTAATAACGCCCTAATAATAAGGCTAACAACGCGTTAATGACACCCTAATTAAGCCCTAATGGGGCCCTAATTAGTCCCTAATGAAGCGCTAATAACGGGGGTACCTGGCTGGCCCCCTGGCCGCCGGGGGGGGCCTCGGCGCTGCTCTCCCATAGGAAGTAGTTCTCCAGCACGTCCTGGGGCCGGCACTGGCTGTGGCAGATGGGGCACTCCAGGTCTGGGGGGGGGCATTGGGATCCCGGTGTTCCAGAGGTTGGGATGGGAATGGGGATGAGGGTGCGGACCCCAGCAAGAGGGGGTGGGGGGAGCCCACCACACCCCCATTCCCATATCTATGCCCCCATTCCTGTATCTATGCCCCCATTCCCATATCTATGCCCCATACCTGCCCCATTCCCATCCCCACAGCCCCATTCCCAACCCCATTCCCATCTCCATGGCCCCAATTCCAGCTCCATTGCCACAATCCCGGCCCCATTCCCATCTCCATTGCCCCATTCCCATCCCCACGTCCCCATTCCCACCTCCACAGCCCCATTCCCATCTCTATGGCCCTATTCCCAGCCCCATTCCCATTCTTATGGCCCCATTCCCAGCTCCATGGCCCATTCCCATCTCTATGGCCCCATTCCCAGCCCCATTCCCATTCTTATGGCCCCATTCCCAGCTCCACTGCCACAATCCCGGCCCCATTCCCATCTCCATGGCCCCATTCCCATCTCTATGGCCCCATTCCCAGCTCCACTGCAGTCCCATTCCCATATCTATGGCCCCATTCCCATCTCCACTGCCCCATTCCCATCTTCAATGCCCCATTCCCGATCTCATTCCCATCTCCACTACCCCATTCCCAGCCCCATTGCCCCACTCCCAGCAACATTCCCAGCCCCATTACCATCTCTATGCCCCATTCCCATCTCCATGGCCCCATTCTCACCCCCAGCCCCATTCCCATCCTTATGACCCCATTCCCAATCCCATTCCCGGCCCCATTCCCATCTCCAGGGCCCCCTTCCCAGCCCCATTTCCATTCTTATGGTCCCCTTCTGATCCCCACAGCCCCATTCCCGTATCCACGGCCCCATTCCTATCTCGACAGCCTCATTCCCAGCCCCATTCCCATCTCCATGACCCCATTCCCATCTCTGTGCCCCAATCCCATCTCCACTGCCCCATTCCCATCTCTATGGCCCCATTCCCAGCCCCATTCCCAATCCCATTCCCATCCCCTCTCCCCCCCCCAGGCCGCTCTCCCACCGCTCCTCACCGCTGCCTCCAGGCGCGGGCCGCAGGCAGCCCCGGCAGAGCGAGTGCAGACACGGGAGGAGCCGCGGCTCCCGCTCCGCCCGCAGCCGCTCCCCGCAGCCCCCGCAGCGCTCCAGGAGCTCCGCGGAGCCCGGAGCGGAGCCCGGACCAGGCCCAGGCCCGGCCCCGGCCCCGCTCTCCGCCACCGGAGCCGACATGGCGGCCGCGGCTCTCCCTCACGGCTGCCTGAGGAGGCAGCCAATCAGAAAGCGCCGTGCGAGGGGAGGGCGGGGATTAGAAGTGATTGACGGGGCTGCCAGCCAATGGGAGGTAAGGAAAGGGGGGGAAGGCTTTGTCCTGCCTCAGCTCGCTCAGTGGGCGGGGCTGCGTGGGGGTGAGCCAATAAGCATCGGGAGAGCGCAGAGTGACAGCGCAAAGAGCCAATCCGCTTCCTCCTCCTCCGCACAGGTTGGGGCATGAGAGGGCGGGCGGACGCTGGAGCAATCAACGTGCCGCGGCGCCCACCCAATCAGCATCGCGGAGGCGGGGTTAAGGCTCTGATTGACACCTCAGCCAGCCAATCAGATGCCGCCCCGCTCGGCACCGTGGTACCCAAGAGGGCTCCATTCATCCGGGCTCCTTTCATCCGGGTTCCCCCCATTGAGGAGCTCCAGGGCTGGAATCCTATCCCATTGGATGCACCTGATTGGTCCCCATCATCAACCCCAAGAGCATCCAGTTGGACCAATCCTAAATGGGAATGCTCCCATCCCATTGGATGCACCTGATTGGTCCCCATCATCAACCCCAGGAGGATGCAGGACGCTCTCATTGGCTCCCCCAACCCCTTCTCGCATCCCATTGGTACCACAAAGACCTGGGGGGCGGGCGATCCCCCCATGGGGCACCCCCATTGGTCCTCACCCCCTATTTATAGGGCCCCAAAGGACAAAAGACAGCACAAAGTGAGAGCTCCAAGGCCATGTCTTGGTTGTCCCCATCAATGGGGGGGACCCACACACACCAGGGACCCCTTGCCCCCCCCCCCCCCAAATCCACACCAAGGCCTGGGTGCTCCCAATCCCACCCCATCCCTATGGATCGGCCTCAGGCGGTGAAAGAGGGGGCCCCAATGGGGCCAGTGGGGGGCCCAATGGTGCTGATGGTGACCCCAATGATGTTGATGGCCCCAATGGTGGCCCCAATGGTGCTGTTGACCCCAATGATGTTGATGGCCCCAATGATGTCGATGGCCCCAATGGTGGCCCCAATGATGTTGATGGCCCCAATGACGTCGATGGCCCCAATGGTGGCCCCAATGATGTTGATGGCCCCAATGATGGCCCCAATGGTGGCCCCAATGGTGCTGTTGACCCCAATGATGTTGATGGCCCCAATGGTGACCCCAATGATGTTGGTGGCCCCAATGATGTTGATGGCCCCAATGATGCTGTTGGCCCCAATGATGCCAACGGCCCCAAGGATGGCTCCAAGGATGACCCCAATGACATTGTTGACCCCAATGATGTTGATGGTCCCAATGGGGACCCCAACGGTTCTGGGGACCCCAATGATGCCGATGGCAGCAATGGTGGCCCCAATGATGCTGTTGACCCCAATGGCGTTGACGGCCCCAATGGTGACCCCAATGATGCTGTTGACCCCAATGATGTTGATGGCCCCAATGGTGACCCCAACGATGCTGACGGCCCCAACGATGAACCCAATGGTGTTGATGGCCCCAACGTTGACCCCAATGATGCCGTGGACCCCAATGACGTTGACGGCCCCAATGTTGACCCCAATGATGTCGTTGACCCCAATGGCATTGACGGCCTCAACGAAGACCCCAATGATGTTGATGGGCCCAACGTTGACCCCAATGATGCTGATGGCCCCAATGATGCCAACGGCCCCAACGTTGACCCCAATGATGCCATTGACCCCAAAGGTGTCGACGGCCCCAACGCTGACCCCAGTGATGCCGACGGCCCCAACTTTGACCCAAGTGATGCCGTTGACCCCAACGGTGTTGATGGCCCCAACATTGACCCCAACGTTGCCGACGGCCCCAATGATGCCGACGGCCCCAATGTTGACCCCAACGATGTCGACGGCTCCAATGATGACTCCAATGATGCTGTTGACCCCAATGATGCCGTTGACCCCAATGATGCCGACGGCCCCAACGATGACCCGAATGATGGTGATGGCCCCAATGATGCCGATGCCCCCAACGGTGCTGTTGACCCCAATGATGCCGTTGACCCCAATGATGCCGACGGCCCCAACGTTGACCCCAATGATGCCGTTGACCCGAATGATGCTGACGGCCCCAATGATGCTGTTGACCCCAACGATGCCGTTGACCCCAATGATGCCGTTGACCCCAATGATGCCGTTGACCCCAATGATGCTGACGGCCCCAATGATGCTGACGGTCCCAACGTTGACCCGAATGACGCCGTTGACCCCAATGATGCCGACGGCCCCAATGATGACGTTGACCCCAATGACACCGATGACCCCAACGTTGACCCAAGTGACGCCGTTGGCCCCACTGATACTGATGCCCCCAATGGCGCCATTGACACCATTGCTACCGATACCGATACCGGTGCCATTGACCCCCTTGCTTCCAATACCGATACCGGCGCCATTGACCCCATCGCTTCCGGTGCCGGTAGCGTCGCCATTGACCCCATCGCTTCCGGTGCCGGTGCCATTGACCCCATCACTTCCGGTGCCAGTGCCATTGACCCCATCGCTTCCGATACCGGCGCCATTGCCGCGGCGTGCCGCTGGGGCAGGGCGCGGTGGGAGGAGGCCCTGGGGCGGGGGGGGCGGTGCGAGCGCAGGTGCACGTTGAGGGAGCTCTTCTGGGTGAAGCGCTTGGCGCAGAGCGGGCACTGGAAGGCCCTGACCCCCGTGTGCGTCACCAGGTGCTTGAGCAGGTAGTCCCGGAGGGAGAAGGAGCGCCGGCACACCCAGCACTGGTGCGGCTTCTCGCCTGTAATGGGGGGCAATGGGGAGCAATGGGGGTCAATAGAGCAATATGGGTCAATAGAGAGGTATGGGGTAATAAGGAGCGCCGGCACACCCAGCACTGGTGCGGCTTCTCACCTGTAGTGGGGCAATGGGGAGCAATGGGGGTCAATAGAGCAGTATGGTCAATAGAGCAATATGGGTCAATAGAGAGGTATGGGTCAGTATGGAGCAATATGGCTCAATAGAGAGGTATGGGTCAGTATGGAGCAATATGGGTCAATAGAGCAGTATGGGTCAATAGAGCAGTATGGGTCAGTATGGAGTAATATGGGTCAATAGAGAGGTATGGGGTAATAAGGAGCGCCGGCACACCCAGCACTGGTGCGGCTTCTCACCTGCAATGGGGCAATGGGGAGCAATGGGGGTCAATAGAGCAGTATGGTCAATAGAGCAATATGGGTCAGTATGGAGCAGTATGGGTCAATAGAGAGGTATGGGGTAATAAGGAGCGCCGGCACACCCAGCACTGGTGCGGCTTCTCGCCTGTAATGGGACCAGTATGGGTCAGTATGGGGCAGTATAGAGCAATGGGGGGCAATGTGGGTTAACACAGACCATGATGGGGCAATATGGAGCAATAGGGGGCAATGGGGAGCAGAATGGGTCCCCCATTGCCCCCATGTCCCCCATTGCCCCCTTTGTCCCCATTGCCCCCCATGTCCCCCTTTGCCCCCATACCCCCGCATGTTCCCCATACCCCCCATACCCCCCATGTTCCCCATACCCCCCATACCCCCCATGTGCCCCATACCCCCCATGTTCCCCATACCCCCCATACTCCCCATGTACCCCATACCCCCCATACTCCCCATGTACCCCATACCCCCCATGTTCCCCATACCCCCCATATCCCCCATACCCCCATGTGACCCATACCCCCCATACCCCACCCCCATGTTCCCCATACCCCCCATATCCCCCATACCCCCCATGTGCCCCATACCCCCCATATCCCCCATGTGCCCCATACCCCCCATATCCCCCATACCCCCCATGTACCCCATACCCCATACCCCCCATGTACCCCATACCCCCCATACCCCATGTACCCCATACCCCCCATACCCCATGTACCCCATACCCCCCATGTACCCCATACCCCCCATACCCCATGTACCCCATACCCCCCATATACCCCATACCCCCCATACCCCATATCCCCCATATCCCCCATATCCCCCATATCCCCCCCCCCATGCTCCCCATATCCCCCATACCCCCCATGTGCCCCATAGCCCCCATACCCCCCATGTGCCCCATAGCCCCCATACCCCCCATGTGCCCCATAGCCCCAGAGCCCTCACCCGAGTGAATGAACATGTGCTTGCTGTAGTTCTTCCGGGAGCTGAAGCTCTTCTGGCAGTGCCCGCATTGGAAGGAACCCTCGGGGCCACGCGAGGGCCTGGCCGGGGCCCCCCCTTTGCCTTGGCTCCCTCCTCGCCCCCCTTCCTTTGGTGCCGGTGCCGCGATGCCCGAACCCGGTGTCACCGGTGCCTCCGCATCACCCCCAGGCCATGGCGGTGGGAAGGGGTCAAACAATGGGGGCTCCTCATTGGGTGTTGGGGTGAAGGCTTCATCCTCATCCTCCTCCTCCTTGAGTGGAAGCTGCAGGCGCAGCGGTTGCCGTTGCTTGCGGCTATGGTAACTCGGTGACGCCGTTACCATGGTTACCGTGGTTGCCTTGCCCACCATGGGCGCCGGTGATGCTGTTACCATGGGCGCCGGTGTTGCCGTTACCATGGTTACCTTGCCCACCATGGGCTCCAGTGATGCCGTTACCATGGTTGCCTTGCCCACCATGGGCGCCGGTGATGCTGTTACCATGGGCGCCGGTGTTGCCGTTACCATGGTTACCTTGCCCACCATGGGCGCCGGTGACGCCGTTACCATGGTTACCTTGCCCACCATGGGCGCCGGTGATGCTGTTACCATGGTTGCCTTGCCCACCATGGGCGCCGGTGATGCCGTTACCATGGGCGCCGGTGATGCCGTTACCATGGTTACCTTGCCCACCATGGGCGCCGGTGATGCCGTTACCATGGGTACCGGTGATGCCGTTACCATGGTTACCTTGCCCACCATGGGCGCCGGTGACGCCGTTACCATGGTTACCTTGCCCACCATGGGCGCCGGTGATGCTGTCACCATGGTTACCTTGCCCACCATGGGTGCCGGTGATGCCGTTACCATGGTTACCTTGCCCACCATGGGCACCGGTGATGCCGTTACCATGGTTACCTTGCCCCCCATAGGCTCCGGTGATGCCGTCACCATGGTTACCTTGCCCCCCATAGGCTCCGGTGATGCCGTTACCATGGGCGCCGGTGATGCTGTTACCATGGGCGCCGGTGTTGCCGTTACCATGGTTACCTTGCCCATCATGGGCGCTGGTGATGCTGTTACCATGGGCGCCGGTGATGCTGTTACCATGGTTACCTTGCCCACCATGGGCGCTGGTGATGCTGTTACCATGGGCGCCGGTGTTGCCGTTACCATGGTTACCTTGCCCATCATGGGCGCTGGTGATGCTGTTACCATGGGCGCCGGTGATGCCGTTACCATGGTTACCTTGCCCATCATGGGCGCTGGTGATGCCGTTACCATGGTTACCTTGCCCCCCATAGGCTCCGGTGATGCCGTCACCATGGTTACCTTGCCCCCCATGGTCGCTGGTGATGCCGTTACCATGGTTACCTTGCCCCCCATAGGCTCCGGCGATGCCATCACCATTACCTTGCCCCCCACGGCCGCCCGGCCCCGGTTGATGATTTGGGTGCACTCATCGATAACGCTCTTGATCTGGAGCACGGAGGCGGCCGTCAGGATGTGCAGCGCCTCCGAGGGCGCCACCGCCAAGCAGCCGCTGTAGAGGAACTCCACCAAGCGCCGCACGGCGCCGCTGGGCACGACCGGCGGCACCTCGATGGCCGAGTGGCCCAGGAGGAGTTTGTCGTGGAAGAAGGGGCTGCCGGCGGCCAGGACGCAGCGGTGGGCGCGGAGCGTGGCCTCGCGGATGCGCACGGTGACGTCGCAGAAGGCCCCCGCCACGCGTTGGCCGTCGAGGGTCTCCAGCAGGGAGCGGCTGAAGTTGTGGAGGTGGATGTAGTGGATGGTGTCGGGCATGGTGGGGGGGTAATGGGGTGGCGATGGTGGGGTCAAGGGGGTGGCAATGGGATGGCAATGGTGGGGTCAATGGTGCTGATGGTGAGGTCAAGGCGATGTGAATGGTGTCAATGGTGATGGTGAGGTCAATGACGTCGATGGTGAGGTCAAGGGGATGGCAATGGTGTTGATGTCAATGGTGAGGTCAAGGAGATGGCAATGGCGTCGATGGTGAGGTCAAGGCGATGTGAATGGTGTCAATGGTGATGGTGAAGTCAATGATGTTGATGGTGAGGTCAAGGGGATGGCAATGGTGTCAATGTTGATGGTGAGGTCAATGACGTTGATGTCAATGGTGAGGTCGAGGTGATGTCAATGGCCTCAATGGTGAGGTCAAGGAGATGTCAATGGTGACGTCAATGACATCGATGTCAATGGTGAGGTCGAGGTGATGTCAATGGCGTCAATGGTGAGGTCAAGGAGATGTCAATGGTGACGTCAATGACATCGATGTCAATGGTGAGGTCGAGGTGATGTCAATGGCCTCAATGGTGAGGTCAAGGAGATGTCAATGGTGACGTCAATGACATCGATGTCAATGGTGAGGTCGAGGTGATGTCAATGGCCTCAATGGTGAGGTCAAGGTGATGTCAATGACGTCAGTGATGACGTCAATGCGATGTCAATGACGTCAATGGTGAGCCCAACAGAGCCAATGGGCACAGCAGTGGCGATGACGTCAACGATGACGTCAACGCGAGGCCAGCGGAGAGCCCGACGGCAACGACGTCAGCAGCAATGATGTCACAGCAACGCCCCCCCGCATCCAACCAATGGGGACCTGCGGGGAGAGCACGCGGATGTGACGTCACGGGGGGCCGTGCAGATCCCTCCCCCCACCCCCCCCCCCCCCCCCGTTTTTCCCTCCCTCACCTCCGGGCGCGCGGGAGCGCGGCGGGCGCTACGGGACGGGCGCCGCTTCCGGTAGGCGGTGCCTGACGTCACTTCTGGGCGACACTTCCCGGTCCGGAGCGGAAGTGGGCGGGGACCATAGAGAGAGCGACGCCCCGCCCCGCCCGAACCATAGAGAAGGGCCAGAGCGGCCCCGCCCCTTCCGGGTGACGTCAGGAGTTGGGCGGCCGCCCTATGGAGGCCCTATAGAGCCCCTTGGAGCCCATAGGGACCCCTATAGAGGCCATAGGGAGCCCTATATGGCTGCAGACCCTTATAGAACCCTCATAGGGACCCCTATATGGCTGCAGACCCCTATAGAGACCCCATAGGGATGCCTGTATGGCTGCAGATCCCTATAGAACCACTATAGGGATCCCTATATGGCTGCAGACCCCTATAGAACCTCTATAGTGACCCCTGTATAGCTGCAGACCCCTATAGAACCCCCATAGCGACCCCTATGTGGGTGCAGACCGCTATAGAACCCCTATAGAGACACCTATATGGCTGCAGACCCCTATAGAACCCCTATAGGGACCCTTATATAGCTGCAGACCCCTATAGAACCCCCATAGGGATGCCTATATGGCTGCAGACCCTTATAGAACCATCATAGGGACTCCTATAGAACCCCTATAGGGACTCCTCTATGGCTGCCGACCCCTATAGAACCCCCATAGGGACCCCTATATGGCTGCAGACCCCTATAGACCCCCCCATAGAGACCCCCTATAGACACCATAGGGCCAGGATCCCCTATAGTCCCCCATTGGAGCCCAGAGGTGCTGGGGCTCACAGGGCACCAAGTCCTTTATTGGAGCACAAAGGGGGGGGGGCCCCCCCACATCACGGTGCTGGGGGGGGGTCCCCACTGGTGTCCGGGGGGGGGCTTGGGGGGGGCTCCCCCAATCCCAGCAGCTCCCGCAGTGATTGGGGCAGGTCCTGGGGAGAGATGGGGGTCAATGGGGGGGGGGTCAATGGGGGGTCAATGGGGGGTCTATGGGGTTCAATGGGGAGGTCAATGGGTGGGGGCAATGGGGGGGTTCAATGGGGGGCAATGGGGAGGTCAATGGGGTTCAATGGGAGGTCAATGGCTGGGGTCAATGGGGTTCAATGGGGGTCAATAGAGTTCAATGGGGCGTCAATGGGGGTCAGTAGGGGTCAATGGGGTTCAGTGGGGGCCAATGGGGGTTCAATGAGGGGGTCAATGGGGTTCAGTGGGGGTCAGTGGGAGTCAATGGGGTTTAATGGGGCGGTTGATGGAGTTCAGTGGGGGGGTCCCTATTTTAGGGGATCAATGGGGTTCAATGGGGTCAATGGCTTGCAATGGGGGTCAATGGGCTGGGGTCAATGGGGGGGTCCCTGTTTGGGGGTGCTCACAGGCGCTGCCTTCAGCTGCAGCAGGAACCCCTCAGCCCGGCTCAGCACAAGATCCGGATCCAACCACGGGCCCTGGGGGGGGCAGGGACGGTGCCACAGTGGGGGGGGGGCACCCCCATATCCCAAAGCCCCCATCCCAATGCTCCCATCCCCATCCCCCCATCCCAGTGCCCCCATCCCAATGTCCCCATCCCCCCATCCCAATGTCCCCATCCCAGTGTCCCCATCCCCCCATCCCAATGCCCCCATCCCCCCATCCCCATCCCCCCATCCCAATGCCCCCATCCCAACATCCCCATCCCCCCATCCCAGTGCCCCCATCCCCATCCCCCCATCCCAGTGCCCCCATCCCCATCCCCCCATCCCCATCCCCACCTCCTCGTTGCCGCCGTCCCCCTCCGTGTCCCCATCATTGGGCTGGGGGGGGAGGTCCCGGTCCCCTTCCCCCTCCTCCTCCTCCTCCTCCTCCTCCTCCTCCTGCTCCCCCCCATCTCTGTCCCCATGGGGGTCCCCCCCCAGCTCCACCAGGGCGCACACCAGGAGCAGGAGGAAGTTGGGGCCGGGCAGCCCCGTCCACAGCACCTGGAGCAGGGGGGAGAATGGGGGAGCCCCAGGGCCCAAACCCTGTGGCCTGTATTGAAGACCCCATAGCCAATACCCAACACATCCCATATCCCATACACCCCATACCCAATACCCCATGGCCTGTATTGAAGACCCCATACTCCATCCATCCCATACATCCCATCCATCCCATACCCCATATATCCCATACCCCATATATCCCATACACCCCATACCCAATACCCCATGGCCTGTATTGAAGACCCCATACTCCATCCATCCCATACATCCCATACCCCATATATCCCATACATCCCATATCCCATACATCCCATACCTCCCATACCCCATACCCCTTATCCCATACCCCATACATCCCATACGTCCCATGCCCCATACATCCCATACATCCCATACCCCCTAGTCCTTACCCCATAGCCTGTATTGCAGACATCCCATACCCCATACATCCCATACGTCCCATACCCCATAGCCTGTATTGCAGACCCCATACCCCATACCCCATCTGTCCCATACATCCCTTACATTCCATACATCCCATACTCCATACATCCCGTACCCAATGCCCTGCATTGAAGACCCCATACCCCATATCCCATCCATCCCATACCCCATAGGCCATAGCCTGTATTGAAGACCCTGTACCCCATGCGTCCCATACCCCATACATCCCATACCCCATATCCATACCCTATAACCCATGCCCCATACATCCCATACCCCATACCCCATACTCAATATCCCCTATCCCACACCCCATACATCCCATCCACCCCACCCCCCCCCCATCTCCCCATTACCTCCCACATCCTCTTGGTCCCCTCAGGCCCCAGCAGGGGCTGGAAGCGGAGCTGGAGCCATCGGGAGCAGCTCCGGGTACCCCAGGCCTCTGCGGTCGCCATGGCAACGGGGATGGGGAGCAGCATCTCAGGGCTCCCCCCCTTTAGGGCACCATTTTGGGGGTGCCGCCCCCATTTTGGGGGTCCCATTGTTGGGGTCTCCCCATTTTGGGGTCCCACCCATTTTGGGGTCCCCCCACCCATTTTGGGGGTCCCATTGTTGTGGTCCCCCCCATTTTGGGGTGTGCCCCCCATTTTGGGGGTCCCATTGTTGGGATTCCTCCCATTTCAGAGTGTCCCCACCATTTTGGGGGTGCCATTGTTGGGGTCTCCCCCCATTTTGGGTTGTCCCCCCCATTTTGGGGGTCCCATTGTTGGGGGTCCCCCCATTCTGGGGTGTCCCCCCCATTTTGGGGGTCCCATTGTTGGGGTCCCCCCCATTTTGGGGGTCCCACTGTTGGGGTCCCTCCCATTTTGGGGTGTCCCCCCCATTGTTGGGGGTCCCATTGTTGGGGTCCCCTCCCCTGTGCTCTCACCCAGTCGTGGCTCCAGCACCCCCAGTAACTGCCCCACTTCTCCCAGTTGCTGCTTCAGCCTCTCCTGGCCTGGCCCAAAGCTGCTCCCCTGGGGGGGACACCCCAAAAAGGGGGGGGCTTAAACCACAACCCCCCCAAACCCCCTTTAAGTGTCCTCCCATTCCCCCCCTCCCTATTGTGGGGAACCCCAATTTGAGCCCCCCCATCCTTTAACGTCCCCCCCCTTTTAGGGTCATCCCTATTTACGGTCCCCCCCCTTTAGGCTCACCCCTATTTGGGGTCCCCCCCCTTTAAGATCCCCCCATATTTAGGGCCCCCTTTTCCCTTTTGCCCCTCCACCTACAATTTTGCCCCCCTCTTTTCAGGTTCCCCCCTATTTGGGGTTCCCCCCTTATTTTGCCCCCCCTTTGGGACCCCTTCTTTTAGGCCCCCCCCTCATATTTAGGGTCCCCCCCGTGTTTTACCATCCCCCATTTGGGACCCCCACCATTTAGGGCCCCCCCTATTTCCCCCCCCCTTTTGGGACCCCCCTCCTTTTTTGACCTCCCCTCTTTTAGGGTCCCCCCTCTTCCCCATCCCTATTTTGCTCCCCCCCTTTTTAGCCCCCCCCCTTTTTGATGCCCCCCCTCCCAATTTTGCCCCCCCTCCACTTTTAGGTCTCCCCCTCTTTTAGGGCCCCCCCTCTTCCCCCCCCCGTTTTGGGGTCCCCCCCCTCACCACCAGCTCCATGACGCTGCTGAACCCCCAAAAGGCCTCGGCCTCGTCGGGGATCACGCTCAGGAGGGGGGGGAGGAGCTCGATCATGCCCCGCACGTACCCTGGGGGAGGGGGGGGGGGGTCAACAGGAACCCCCTACCCCCCCCATTGCCCCCTCAAGGACCCCCCTTTCCCCTTTAAGGACCCCCCATTGCCCCTTTAAGGACCCCCCATTGCCCCTTTAAGGACCCACCATTGCCCTTTAAAGACCCCATTGCCCCTTTAAGGACCCCCCATTGCCTCTTCAAGGACCTCCCCCATTGCCCCTTTAAGCACCCCCCATTGCCCCTTTAAGGACCCCCCCACCCCAAACCCCCCCCAAAACCCCCCACCCCCCCCACCCAAACCCCCCCCCAAACCCCCACCCCCCCCCTTTAAGGACCCCCCATTGCCCTTTAAGGACCCCCTTGCCCCTTAAGGACCCCCCATTGCCCCTTTAAGGACCCCCTTTGCCCCTTTAACCCCTTGCCCCTTAAGGACCCCCCCATTGCCCCTTAAACCCCCTTGCCTAAGGACCCCCCATTGCCCCTTTAAGACCCCCCATTGCCCCTTTAAGGACAACCTTTGCCCCTTTAAGGACCGCCCCATTGCCTCTTTAAGGACCCCCCCATTGCCTCTTTAAGGCCCCCCCCCCATTGCCCCTTTAACGACACCAATTGCCCTTTAGGTACTCCCCATTACCCCTTTAAGGACCCCCTATTCCCCCTTTAAGGACCCCCATTGCCCCTTTAAGGACCCCTCCATTGCCTCTTCAAGGACCTCCCATTGCTCCTTTAAGGACCTCCCATAGCCCCTTTAAGAACCCCTAAATTGCCCCTTTAAGAACCCTCCCATTGCCCCTTAGCCCCCATGCCCCTTTAAGGACCCCCCCATTACCCCTTTAAGGATCCCCTTTGCCCCATTAAGAACCCCCCATTGCCCCTTTAACGACCCCCCCATTGCCCCTTTAAGGACCCCCCCATTGGCCTTTAAGGACCCTTTAAGGACTCACCCTATTGCCCTTTAAGAACCCCCCTCATTGCCCCTTTAAGCTCCCCCCCATTGCCCCTTTAAGCACCCCCCCCATTGCCCTTTTAAGGACCCCCTTTGCCCCTTTAAGGAACCCCCATTGCCCCTTTAAGGACCCCCATTACCCCTTTAAAGACCCCCCATTACCCCTTTAAGACCCCCCCCATTGCCCCTTTAAGGCCCCCCCCCCATACCCAGGTCGAAGTGGTACATGCAGTACGTCATGAGCACGTCGTGCAACAGCGCCCTCTGCTGGCTGGAGGAGTGCCGGTGGCACCGGTGGAGGTCCCGCTCTATGGGGGGGGACACAGACATGTGGGGCAATGGAGGGGTTATGGGGCAGGTTGGGGGGTAATAGAGGGGTTATGGGGTGGGTTGGGGGGGTAATAGAGGGGTTATGGGGCAGGTTGGGGGGGGTAATAGAGTGGATGTGGGGCACTTTGGGGGTCTCAATGGAGCTCTAAGGGTCTCTATGGGTCTCTATAGATCTTTATGGGACTCTATGGATTTCTATGTGTCTTTATGGGGTCCCTATAGGGTTCTCTAGGACTCTATGGGTCCCTATGGTTCCTACGGGTCCCTATGGGTTTCTATGGGGCTCACCCAGGCGGTGCCGGTAGCGCCGCAGGAGCCGGTTCCTCTGCAGCTGCCCCGGGCTCAGCGAGCGCCATTGGAGCTTCATGCGGAAATAGGAGGCCCTGGGGCCCCCCCGTTACCATGGGGAGCCCCCATAGACCCCATAGACCCCCATAGCCCTCTACAGACCCCCATAACCCCCTATAGACCCCCATAGCGCCCTATAGCCACCCATAGCCCTCTATAGACCCCCATAGACCCCTATAGACTCCCATAGACCCCTAGAGCCCCCCATAGACCCCTATAGACCCCAATAACCCACTATAGACCCTCATAGACACCTATAGACCCCCATAGACCCCCATAGACCCCCATGGCCCCCCATAGACCCACTATAGCCCCCCATAGACCCCTATAGACCCCCATAGCCCCCCATAGACCCCCATACAAACCCATAGCTCCCATAGAACCCCATAGTCCCCCATGGCCCCCCATAGACCCACTATAGACCCCCATAGACCTTCATAGCTCCCCATAGACCCCCACAGATCCCCTATAGACCCCCATAGAACCCCATAGAACCCCATAGACCCCCATATCCCCCCCTCACCTCCTCTCCATGGGGTCCTCGCTGCCCCCCCCCAGCAGCAGCCTCCAGCCCTGGGGGCGAACCTCGGGGCTGAGCCCCTGCAAAGGGGAGGGGGAGTGAGGAGGGGCGTGGCCACCGTAGACCCCGCCCCCACGTAACCACGCCCCCCACCCCCCTTTGCAGCCCCGCCCCCTCACCCCGCGGAAGATCCGCGCCCGCAGCCCCTCGGGGTCCAGGCTCCGCCCCTCGGCGTCGTGGCTCCGCCCCCATTCCTCCTGTGTCACCGGTGGCCCCCGCGCGGGGAAGGGGCGGGGCCCCAGCCTCACCTTGGGGGGGGGAGAGCAGAGCCAATCAGATCACAGCCGCCCCCCCCCCGCCACACACAAGCCACGCCCCTTCCCCTCTAGCCCCGCCCACTCACACAGGCGATGACCTCAAAGGGCGGCTCTGGCTCCGCCTCCTCCTCCTCGCCGGGGGCGGGGCCTCGGGGAGTCCCACCCCCCAGCAGCCGGCTCAGGCCCCCCATGGTGGCTGCATAGGGACCCTGCAACAGGCGCTGGGGGGGCACAGAGGGGGGTCAGGAGGTGGGACCCCAATGGGGCCCATCCATTGACCCCCCCATTGAACCCCCTTTTGCCCCCGCATTGCCCCATTGACCCCACATTGACCCCCCTATTGAGCCTCCCTTTGCCCCCCATTGAACCCCCATTGTCCCCCCATTGAACCCCCATTGCCCCCCATTTCCCCCCATTGAACCCCCCCTTTGCCCACCCATTGAACCCCCATTGCCCCCCATTGACCCCCCCATTGCCCTCCATTTCCCCCACACCCCCCATTGTCCCCCACTGACCCCATTGTCCCCATTGCCCCCCTTTGTCCCCCCATTGAACACCCATTGCCCCCCCTCCATTTACCCCCCATTGTCCCCCCACTGACCCCCCATTGTCCCCCCATTGCCCCCCATTGTCCCCCCATTGAACACCCATTGCTTCCCACTGCCCCCACTGAACCCCCATTGCCCCCCCATTGAACCCCCATTGCCCCCCATTGACCCCCCATTGCCCCCCTTTCTCCCCCATTTCCCCCCATTGCCCCCCCATACTCACAGCAACAAGGCCGGGGGAGGGGCCTGACCCCACCTCTTCGGGGGGGTCCACCAGGAACAAGCGGGGGTCATGGGGATGCCTGGGGGGGGGGTGGGGGCGGGGTCATGGATGGGGGTGGGGGGGTTTTGGGGTGCCCCCCCCCCCCCCCCATCCCCCACTCACGGCCTCAAGCGGGGTCCCAGGAGCTGCAGCAGCTTCCGGCCCCCCCCCCGCGGGAAGTGCAAGGGGGGGGGGCAGGGGGAGGGGGAGGGGCAGGGCCCCCCCCGGGGCAGCAGCACCAGGAAGGGGGGGCGGAGCCCGGGGGGGCCCCAGCGCAGCCCCCACAGCTCCCCCAGCGCCAGGCGGAAGCCCCACCCCCAGCCTGCGGGGGCAACCAGTATGGACCAGTTCAAACCAGTGCCCTCACCCCGATCCCAGTTCAGTGCAGTTCATCCCAATTCATCCCAGTGCCCCACCTCCTTGATCCCAATTCATCCCAGTGCCCCCCCCCGGTGATCCCCATTCATCCCAGTTCATCCCAGTGCCCACCCAGTTCATCCCAGTGCCCACCCATTGATCCCAGTTCATCCCAGTTCATCCCAGCTCATCCCACTGCCCCCCCATTGATCCCAATTCATCCCAGTTCATCACAGTGCCACCCCCCAGTGATTCCAGTTCATCCAAGTGCCCCCCCCCGGTGATTGCAATTCATCCCAGTCATCCCAGTTCCCCCAATTCATCCCAGTGCCCCCCCTGCCGTTGATCCCAATTCATCCCAGTGTTCCCCCAGTTCATCCCAATTCATCCCAGTACCCCCCCATTGATCCCACTTAATCCTAGTGCCCTCCCCAGTTCATCCCAGTGCCCCCCCCAAATACCAGGGGCCTGGGGGCGGGGCCGGGGGGGGCTCAGAACGGCCCAATCAGGTTCATAGCCAGGGTCCGGTGGCTCCGCCCCTTCCTGGAAGGGAAAGCAGTGAGGTCACAATGGGAGCAATGACGTCACAATGGGGTCAATGATGTCACAATGGGGGTCATGAGGTCACAAAGGGAGCAATGACGTCACAATGGGATCAAAGAGAGCACAATGGGGTCAATGAGGTCACAGTGGGGGTGATGACATCATAATGGTTTCGATGACATCACAATGGTGGCAATGAGGTCACAATGGGGTCAATGATGTCACAATGGGGTCAATGAGGCCACAATGGGGTAAATGAGGTCACAATGGGGTCAATGGGGTCACAATGGGATCAATGGGGTCACAATGGGATCAATGGGGTCACAATGGGGTCCATGATGTCACAATGGCATTAATAACATCATAATTAAATCACAATGGGGTCAATGACATCACAACAGGGCTGACGACATCATAATGAGGTCACAATGCGGTCAATGATGTCATAATGGGCTCAATGACATCACAATGGGGACAATGAGGTCACAGTGGGGTCGGGGGGGGGGGTCTCACCGTGTCCTCGGGGGCCTCCCCCGGCGCCTCAAGGGGCTCCCAGTGCAGCACGAGCCCATCGGCCTGTGCCCACCAGTACAGACCAGTATGAACCAGTGCAGGCCCACATTGGCCCCAGGCACCCTCAGTGGCTCCATTCGTCGCTCCCAGGCTATTCCAGTGCTCCCCATTCCCTCCCAGTCTATCCCAGTGCCCCCCCATTCCCTCCCCATCTATTCCATACCACCCATTCCCTCCCAGTCGACCCCATTCCCCCCCCAAAGCACCCCCTTCCCTCCCAGTCTATCCCAGTGCCCCCCTGTTCCCTCCCAGTCTATCCCAGTATCCCCCCGTTCTATCCGAGTGCTCCCCCAGTGCCCCCTCATTCAACCCCATTCTATCCCATTCTCCCCCATTCCCCACCAGTCTATCCCATTTCCTCCCAGTATATCTCAGTGCCCCCCCATTCCATCCCAGTGCCACCCCATTTTCCCGATTCCCTCCCAGTGCCCTCCCATTCCCTCCCAGTCTATCCCATTCCCTCCCAGTGCCCCCCCATTCCCTCCCAGTCTATCCCATTCCCTCCCAGTGCCCCCCCATTCCCTCCCAGTCCGTTCCAGTGCCCCCCATTCCCCCCATTCTATCCCATTCCCCCCCATTTCACCCCCAGTGCATCCCAGTGGCCCCCATTCCCTCCCAGTCTATCCCATTCCCTCCCAGTCCATCCCAGTGCCCCCCCCCATGGCCCCACCCCCTCGAGCACGCGCAGCCGCCCCCTCACGAGCCCGTCGCGGTGGGGGGGGCAGGGGCGGAGCCTGGGGTGGATCGAGACCCCCGTGACCTCCAGCAGCACCTATGGGGGGGAGGACCTCGACGTCACGCTGACGTCACGCTGACGTCACGGTTACGTCATGCAAAGGCGGGCGGGGCTCACCCTCTCGCCCACAGCCTCCATTCCGCGCTCAACGCTTCCGCTTCCAGCTATGGCCACGCCCCCTTCCGGCCACGCCCCCTCCTCCGTTACGACCTATGGGATCTAAGCTTCGCAGTGTATTCACGCCCCCTCCTCCGTTACAGCCAATAGGATCCAAGCTTCCCTGCGTAGCCACGGCCCTTCCGGCTCTGACCACGCCCCTTCCCTCTCTCCCCCTCCAGCTACGCCCCTTTTCCCCTCACCCACGCTCCTCATTGGCCCGCACGCTTTAACCCCGCTCCCTCTTCCGTTATAGCCAATAGGATCCAAACTTTCCCGTGCACCCGCGCCCCTTCTTCCGTTACAGCCAATGGGATCCAAGCTTCCCCGCGTACCCCCGCCCACTTCAGCTCTGACCACGCCCCTTCCCTCGCTCCCCCTCCAGCCACGCCTCTTTCTCTCTTCCCCACCCCCTTTCCATTGGCCACGCCCCCTTCTCCCCACCAATCCCCTCTCTCCCTTTCCTTCCACTTCCGCTCCCGCCCCTTCCGCCGCCGCCGCCATCTTGGCGGGGCGGCCCCGGGGGCTCTCGCTCCGCAGCCGCCTCCTCCGGTACCACCGGTTCCCTCCCCTTCCCCCCCTCCCCTTTCCCTTTCCCCTCCCCCCTCCCTCCCTCCCTTCCCCCCCCCGTATTTTCAATGTGGACCCCGCCGATGGGGGAGGGGCACCGGCAGCGCTGGGCCGCGTTGGTGGCGGCGGCCGAAGGGTACCGGGGGGCCACCGGGGCCGAGGTTTTGGTGCTCACGGCCTGGACCGGGCCGGGCCCCGGGGCCTCTCCCTCGTACGCGCACCACGGGCCCGGCCCGCTCGGGGCGGCGGCGCGGCGCTTCCTGCCCGACATCGCGGCTGCGCACAGGGCCATGGGCCCGCAGGCCACGCCCCCTGCTCTGGCGGCGGCCACGCCCCCCGGCGTGGTAATGGCGGCGACCACGCCCCCCGCTCTGGCGGTGGCCACGCCCCCCGGCGTTGCCGTGGAGACGCCCGCGCGCCCCCGCGGCTCCTGCTCCTCCTCCCCCCCCAGCGGGAGTGGGGAGCGGGGGGGAGGGGAGCGCAGAGCGATGCCAGCGGTGAGTGGGGGAGGGGGAAATGGGTGTCAATGGGGGTGGGGGTGGGGTCAATATGGGAGGGGGAGGGGTCATTGGGGTGGGGGAGGGGTGAATGGGGGTTAATGGGGGTGGAGGAAGGGTCAATGGGGGAGGGGGTGAGGATAATGGGGGTGGGGGGAGGTGTCAATTGGGGTTAATGGGGGAGGGGAAGGGTTGGGGAGGGGCGCATTGGGGTAAATGAGAGTGAGAAAGGAGGTAGCGGATATAAGGAGAGTGGGGGAGGGGCGAGGCGGGAGGTGCAAGGGAAGTGGGGGAGGGGCGCGTTGGAGTGAATGGGGTGGGGGAGGGGTCAATGGGAGTGCATGGGGGGGCAGAGTGGGGGAGGGGTAGAAAGGGTCAGTGGGGGAAAGGGGATTGGGGGAAAGGGGAGGTGTGGGGGATGGGCACATTGGGGTCAATGATGTGGGGGCAGGGTCAGTGGGGGGTCACTGAGTGGGTAAGGGGAGGGGTATTGGGTCAATGAGGGTGGGGGAGGGGTGAAGTTGGGGGGCTGGGTGGGGGAGGGGCTGTTGGGGTCATTCGGGTGCAGGGGGAGGGGTGTGTTTGGAGGTGGGGGATGGGCCCCACTCTCATCCTGCCCCTCCCCCCCTAGGGCTGTTCCTGATGGACGAGGACCCCGAGGAGGAACCGCAACCGGATTCAGACCCCGAGAGCCCCGATGGTGGGGGAGGGGCCACGTAGAGAATGAGGGGCAGGAACTGGGGACGAGGGGGAGATGGAGCGGGTGGGAGGCAGAGATGTGGGCAGGGACAGGAGGGAGCAGGGAGGAGATCGGGGCAGAAACGCAGAGATGTGGGGGCAGGAACGCAGAGGGGGGGGATGTGGGGCAGGGACGGGGAGGCAAGATGTAGGGGCAGGGAACGGGGGAGGCGATGTGGGGCAGGACGCAGAGGGGGGGGATGTGGGGCAGGGACAAGGGGCAGAGAAGTGGGGCAGGAACGCAGAGATGTCGGGGCAGGGGACAGGGAGCGATGTGGGGCAGGGACAGGGAGGCAGAGATGTGGGGCGGGGTGGGAGGCGGAGGGAGGAGGTGGGCAGGGATGGGGAGGAGGCAGAGGGAGGGGGTGTGGGCAGGGAGAGAGAGGGGGTGATGGCGGCGGGGGCGGAGGCGGTGGGGCGGCAGGGAGGAGGGGCAGGGGACGGGGAGGAGGTAGGGGCTCTAATGCTCCCGCTCCTCCCCGCCAGCGGGCAGCCTCACAGAGAGCCGCCGCTGCCGCCCGGGGCTGCGGCTCCGCCACTCCTGCCCGTCTCGGTGCCCTCCTGGGCCCTGCGGCCCCCACCGGGGCCCCGCCCCCCCCACGCCGAGGGAGCCGCTCATAAGGTGGGGATCTATGGGGTGGGGGGGCTCTATGGGGCAGGGGAGGATCTATGGGGCAGGAAGGGGGTTCTATGGGGCAGGAAGTGGGTCTATGGGGTGGGGGGATCTATGGGGTAGGAAGGGGATCTATGGGGTGGTTAGAGAGAGATGTGGTGGGGGAGTCTGGGGCAGGGTGGGGTGTCTGTGGGTGGGGTAGGGTGCCGAGGGCGGAAGGGGATCTCTGGTGGAGGGAGAGTCTTGGGGTGGGTGGCGTGGGAGGCTCTGGGGGAAGGGGGGGTGTGTGGGAGAGGGAGATATATGAGCAGGGACAAAAATGTATGGGGCACGGGTGGGGATATATGGGGTGGGGGTATCTATGGGGCAGGGGGGGTGCCTATGGGCCTGAGAGTGGTTATGGGGCATTGCTATAGGAATGATGCACTTAAAGGGATGCATTTATGGGGTTAAGAGATTATAATATGGGTTCTATGGGGCTGGCTATGGCTCTATGGGGCAATCTATGGGGCTGGGGGGTCCCTATGGGTCACATCCATCCCCCCCCCCCATAGGCATCCCCGGACCTGGAGCGCATCGCGGCCTCCATGCGGGCCCTGGCGCTGCGGGGGGGGGGCGACGGCACCGAGATGTTTGGGGACCTCCCCCGCCCCCCACTGCTGGCTGGGGACCCCCAGTGACCCCCACCCCCATCTATGGGGCACCCCACATCTATGGGGCAGCCACTATCAATGGGGCACCCCCACTTATGGGGCACCCTCCATCTATGGGGCAGCCACTATCAATGGGGCACCCCCCACTTATGGGGCACCCCACATCTATGGGGCAGCCACTATCAATGGGGCACCCCCCACTTATGGGGCACCCCACATCTATGGGGCAGCCACTATCAATGGGGCACCCCCATCTATGGGGCACCCTCTATCTATGGGTCTGCCCCCAAAGTGTGTGTGTGTGTGGGGGGGTAGCACCCTAAAGAACCCCCATAAGTGCTGCCCCGCCCCCCCCAATAGGGGGTGGGGGAGGGGCAAATGGGGCCCCACACTACAGCCCCTCCCCCCCACAAGTGTCTTATTAAGGGGGGGGATGGGCGGGTTTAACCCCCTCCCCCCTTTGCACAAGGGTTCCCCCATAGAAGGGGAGCGGCCCCTTTAAGGGGGCGTGGCTTAGCTCCGAGGCCACGCCCCCTCCTTTTATAGCAGAGCAGGGGAGGCCCCACCCCCTTTATTTTTGTCCAAAGATGATTGGGCGGCGCCGAGCGAGGCCCCGCCCCCTTGCAGCCAATAAAGAGATCACGTGTTTTATGGGTGGCGCGCTCTGATTGGTGGAGGCGGGTGGGGGGGGGGGTCCACAATGGGGAGTGCGGGGCTGAGATTTGAGGTCCCCCCATAATAAATAATGGGGGGGGGCGGGTGTGAAGCCAAACACAGAAAGAGCTTTATTGGGGGAGGGGGACTTGTGGGGCAATGGGGGGTGATGGGGGGCAATGGGGGGGGACAATGGGGGGTAATGACAATGGGGTGATGGGTGATGGGGAGGGTGGGGCAATGGAGGGGCAATGGGGGGGTGATGGAGGGGCAATGGGGGGACCTGGGGGGCAATGGGGGAGTGATGGAGGAGCAATGGGCGGCAATGGGGGGATGATGGGGGGCAATGGGGGAGTGATGGAGGAGCAATGGGGGGGACTTGGGGGGCAATGGAGGGTAATGGGGGGGTTTGGGGGGGCAATGAGGGGGACAATGGGGGAATGATGGGGGCAATGGGGGGACTTGGGGGGCAATAGGGGAGTGATGGGGGCAATGGGGGGATAATGGGGTGCAATGGGGCGACTTGGGGGGCAATAGGGGGGCAATGGTTGGGCAATGGGAGGCAGGCAATGGGGGTGATGGGGAGGAGCAATGGAGGGCAATGGGGGGCAATAGGGGGGTAATGGGTTGCAATAGGGAGCAATGGTAGGGTAATGGGGTGCAATGGGGTGGACTTGGGGTGCAGTGGGGGGGGTTGGGGTCCCCCCTAGGCCTGCATCACCGGCCGGGATTTCTGCGCTTCCAAACAGATGCCGAACCGGCGACGATTGCCACCCTGGAATGTAAGGGGTACCCCAAAACTCCATTGCCCCCCCCATAGCCCCACTGAGCCCCATTGAACCCCTTTGAACCCCATTCACCCTATTGACCCCGTTGCCCCCCATTGATACCATCGACCCCCATTGACCCCATCAAACCCCATTGACACCCATTGACCCCCATTGTGCCCCGTTGGCCCCAATTGACCCCCACTGCTCTCCACTGAGCCCCATTGCCCCCCATTCCCCCTCATTACCCCCATTGCCCCCATTACACCCATCGTCCCCATTTGCCCCCATTGCCCCCCATTACCCCCATATACCCATTACCCCATCACCCCATTACCCCCCATTGCCCCCATTACCCCATTTCCCCCCATTGCCCCCGTTAGCCCCATTACCCGCCATTGCCCCCCATGTCCCCATTGCCCCCCATTGCCCCATTCCCTCCATTCCCCCATTCCCCCCATTGCCCCATTCCCCCCATTACCCCATTGCCCCCCATTCCCCCCATTACCCCATTGCCCCCATTCCCCCCATTACCCCATTGCCCCCATTGTTCCCCATTGCCCCATTCCCCCCATTACCCCCCATCAGCCCCCATTCCCCCCATTGATCCCCATTCCCCCCATTCCCCCATTGCCCCCCATTGCCCCCATACCCTCTGTAGGACGATGATGTCCTCCTCCCTGAGGGGCTCTCCCGTTACCGGATCCTTCATCTCCTTCCGGATGAGGCGCTCAACACAGGCCAGGGTCACCACGGCCCCCCTGCCCCACACATGGGGGTCAGCGGCACTTGGGGGGCACACGGGGGGGCCGTGGGCACTTGGGGGTCTCATAGGGGCACTTGGGGGTCCCATAGGGGCACTTGGGGGTCCCATAGGGCACTTGCACTTGCACTTTGGGGGTCCGTGGGGGCACTTGCACTTAGGGGTCCCTTGGGGGCACTTAGGGGTCCAATAGGGGCCCTTGGGGGTCCCATGGGGGTCCTATGGGGGCACTTGGGGGTCCCAAAGGGTCAATAAAGGGTCCCAGGGTTCAGTTATGGGTCTCTATGGCTCCCTACGGTCTCTACGTTCTGTATGGTTCTCTATGGTCTCTATGGGTTTCTATGGGGCCCTATGTGTCTCTGTGTGTCCCTATGTGTCCCTATGGCCCCCTATGGTGACTCTATGGGGTATCTGTGGGGTCTCTATGGTTCCCTATGGTGTCTCTGTGGGGTCTCTATGGGGTCTCTATGGTTCCCTATGGCTCTCTATAGGGTCTCTATGGGGTCTCTATGGGTCCCTATGAGGTCTTTATGAAGTCCCTATGGGGTCTCTATGGTGTCTCTATGTGTCCTTATGGCTCTCTATGGTCTATGGTGTCACCATGTCTCTTTATGTCTCTCTATGGTCTCTATGCTCTCTCTATGTTCTCTCTATGGTATCTCTATGGTATCTCTATGGTATCTCTATGGTTGTCACTCACGAGGGCCGGAGGACCATGCAGGGGCTGGTGTTGCCCAGGGGGTCCCTATGGATCTCTATGCTCTCTATGTGTCCCTATGGTTCCCTGTCTCTCTATGCTCTCTATGGTCTCTATGGTCTCTCTATGGTTCCCTATGTATCTCTATGGTCTCTCTATGGTCTCTCTATGTCTCTCTATGCTCTCTCTATGTCTCTCTATGCTCTCTCTATGGTCTCTCTATGGTCCCTCTATGGTCCCCCCACGGTTGTCACTCACGATGGCCGGAGGACCGCGCAGGGGCTGGCGTTGCCCAGGGGGTCCCCGCTCAGGGCGCACCGGTACCGGGAGCCCTGGGGCCGCGCCAGGAGCTGGGGGCGCCGCAGCCCCGGCTCCACCGGCTCGAAGCGGACGGGGACCAGGTCCCGGAGGCGCAGGCGGCGCCCGCTCATGGGGCAGCGAGCGCCCCCCTCCTGCCCCATAGAGAGAGAGACAGGGGGTTATGGGGCTGCCCCATAGAGAGAGCGCTATGGGGCTGCCCCATAGAGAGAGAGAGACCCTTAATGGGGCTGTGGGGCTGCCCCATAGAGAGAGAGGGGGGTTATGGGGCTGCCCCATAGAGAGACAGGGGGGTTATGGGGCTGCCCCATAGAGAGGGGTGATGGGGGTGTCCCATAGAGAGAGGGGTGCCCCATAGAGAGACAGGGGGCTTATGGGGCTGCCCCATAGAGAGAGAGAGACAGGGGGTTATGGGGCTGCCTCATAGAGAGAGAGACAGGGGGTTATGGGGCTGCCTCATAGAGAGAGAGACAGGGGGTTATGGGGCTGCCCCATAGAGAGACAGGGGGGTTATGGGGCTGCCCCATAAAGAGAGAGGGGGGTTATGGGGCTGCCCCATAGAGAGAGAGGGAGGTTATGGGGCTGCCCCATAGAGAGGGGGCTGCCCCATAGAGAGAGGTGATGGGGCTGCCCCATAGAGGTGATTGGGGTGCCCCATAGGGATGGGGGTGCCCCATAGAGAGCGGTGATGGGGCTGCCCCATAGAGAGAGGGGTGCCCCATAGAGAGAGGTGATGGGGGTGCCCCATAGAGAGCACTTATGGGGCAGAGGGAGCCACGCTATGGGGCAGGGGGACCGTGCTATGGGGCACTCACCGGCTTGCGCAGCCGCTCAGCTCCAGCCTCGGGGGTCAAGGATGGGATCCAGAAGCTTGGGAGGGTCCCAGAGGGGCCGGGTTCTATGGGCAAAAGGGGGGTCAGAGCTGTGGGGCTGCCCCATAGCCCTGCCCCATAGCACAGCCCCATAACCCTGCCCCATAGCTCAGCCCCATAGCCCTGCCCCATAGCACCCCATAGCCCTGCCCCATAGCACCCCATAGCCCTGCCCCATAGCTCAGCCCCATAGCCCTGCCCCATAGCCCCCCCATACCCTCAGTGCTCCCGCCGGCCGCAGGGGGGCTCTGTTTCTGCTTCTGCTGCTCCCGCTCTTGCTGCTGCTGCCGCCGATAGGCCTGGGGGGGAGGTGCCCCATAAGTGACCCTTGGGACCCATAAGTGACCCCCTGGGACCCATAAGTGCCCCATAAGTGACCCCCTGGGACCCATAAGTGACCCTTGGGACCCATAAGTGCCCCACTGGGACCCATGGGACCCATAAGTGACGCCCTGGGACCCATAACTGAATGCTAGGACCCATAAGTGCCCCCCTGGGACCCATAAGTGACCCCTGGGACCCATAAGTGCCCCATACGTGACCCCCTTGGGACCCATAAGTGCCCCCTGGGACCCATAAGTGCCCCCTAAGTGCCCCATAAATGACTCCTAGGACCCATAAGTGACCCCCTGGGACCCATAAGTGACTCATAAGTGACTCCCAGAACCCATAAGTGCCCCATAAGTGCCCCATGGGACCCATAAGTGACTCCTGGGACCCCTAAGTGCCCCATAAGTGCCCCCTCAGTGCCCCATAAGTGACTCCTAGGACCCCTAAGTGCCCCATAAGTGACTCCTAGGACCCCTCAGTGCCCCATAAGTGACTCCTAGGACCCATAAGTGCCCCATAAGTGCCCCCTCAGTGCCCCATAAGTAGTGCCCCCCAAGTGCCCCCCGTGTCACCTTCCTGTGCCTCGCCAGCTCCCCCTTGCGGTGCAGCAGGTACTGCACGATGGCCTCGCGCTCGTACAGGAACCCATCGGGGCTATGGGGGGGAAATGGGGGGGTCAATGGGGGGACCCCAAAGA